CCAAGTCGTTATTGATATCAAGGGTCATTGTAATGTTTCCAAAATGAGGTCTTCAATATTCCGGGACGACATTAAAGAGATCCTTCTACAAGAAGACCTAGAAGCAATTTTACATTTCCTATACATACAGGAAAAAAAAGACGTTGGGTACCTCATGGGTAAGAAAAGGATCGTTGGGAATCATTCAACTATGAAGGAATAATAAGGCTTTCGATTCAACTTTGAAGGGATTTGGCCATTTCATATCAGGCGTGTCTGAGAGTTGCAACTTCTTTTTTCAATGAATAATATCCATTTTTACGGTGGGGAATATGCCCTTCTTTAAGGAGAGACGCTTTTTCGATTCAACCCCCCAAGATGGAAAACTTGTTTAATGGGAAAATAATAAGAGGGTGTGCAAACTTTTTGGTGATATTTACAGCTCACCTCATTGACAAACAAAGAGATTTTTAATGAGTTACTTATTCGGTGATTTAACTTTTCCCTTCTGGTAATTCACTTTTGGTGGTGATTATCATATAATAAAATATTCCGATTGTATAAATTTCCGGTAGGCAGCAAAATTCGAGGGTTTATAGATTTAGGAACGTTCCGCAGACTTCGTCTTCTTTTTCCTTTTTCATAGAGATTATTCTTTATAGTCTATGTTTAGAAAAAGGATTGATGCTTCAGCAGAAAATATTCGATTGTGGAAATTACAAAAATCTTTTTTTACTCTTAAATTCCGAGAAATCATGAGACGATCGCCTTATGATGCTTCATCACTTCTAGGAGATTGTCAACTGATCTGTACACTTATGGTCTTCTTTTTCATGTCCTGAGAACATTTAGAATTATCCCAGACACTTTAGAACGTTTTTAGAATATCTTTAAGACATCCTAGAGCCTACTGGATTAATAAATAAATTTTGATTCTTCTTTGGAAGTTGAAATAGTTCATGCTCCGAAGTTGCAAGAATAATAAAATCATAGGTTGAAGAGTCAGGGAACAAAAAAAGGATAGCGGAAAAATGAAAAGAGAGTTTACCCTCAGGCTGTGCATTGTTGCAGTGTCTGTGATTACAGACAACCCTACAAAGTCGTGTCTCCAATGAGCAGCCTCGGGCTCCGCGTCTAGTTACTATAGCTTTTAGTCTCTTAGATGCATTCTGTAATCTTTAATTTTCATATTAGTGTCTGCTATCCTGTTAATAATTTAATTTATGATTTTCTCGAGAAACCGGATAAGAGAGTTGCGGTATCCTCTCGTTCGCTTTCAATCAGAAAACTCGCTTTAAGTCACGAAGCTTGTCAAATAATATCGAAAGTTTCAAACACGTCTCGCTGAGAAACAAATCTTCGATTTTGAGAATGTTTAGGAGGCAACAAGGGCTGTCTTGAAGATGATGGTTCTCAGAGATTTGCTACGGAAGACTTCTACATCGTGATGAGAGTACCTTTTCCTCTGAAACAGTAGTAGTAGTAGTAGTAGTAGTAGTAGTAGTAGTAGCAGCAGTAGAAGCAGTTGAAGAGGGAAAGGGAACACGAGACGCAGGAACTTCTAAAATCAATTAGCAGCCCCTTAGGCAGAGGGGTTTGGGTATGCTCGAAGAACTGAGAGGGCGATAAGAAGGGGACGACGTTTATCCCAATATAGAGAAACTGGCGGAACAATCGCCCTGTTTCTGTGACTATATAGCATCTCTTGCAGTACTTTAAGTCAGTCCACACGATCTGTATTTTTTATCAACCCTTCTAAACATGCTCCATTGCCCCCAGGTCTTTAGGATTATCATAAAATGATTTAAACCGTCCTTATGACGAAAAAGTGACTTTAGGGATTTTTATTCTTCAATAATTTTCGAAACGGACAATCCGTTTAGACGATCTAAAAATTGATTCTAATTCTCATTTACTTTGATAATGTATCAAAATTCGTAAATAAAAAACCTTTGTAATTTCCACAATCGAATATTTTCTGCTGATCCATCTAATAATTGTAACTTTTTTTCATAATAACGAAAAGTGTTTACAAAATCAAGTAATGAGAATTCAAGAACAGAGATTAGATGTTGCCAGTGCAAATCATTTTTTCCTATGGTTTCAGAACTATAAAAAGCACTCTTTGAATTTCAACTCCCTTCATGCAATGCTTTTCTACATCAAACTCTTTTATTCTCCTCCGACTTTTTCAGGACAAAGAAATTCGTCCTGCTCATTGCTTTTCAAATGGACCGAAGGGAAGAAAACGTTTCATCAATATAATTGGGTTTTTTCTATTCATTACTTATTGATTATAAGGGTCATTAATTTTTTTAGCTTTTCCTTGAAAAATAAATTGTACTTTAGGATAATTTGTTTATTTTCTATTTTTGTTTAATTAATATTCACTACTTGCCTAAAATTTAGATTTTAAATATTTTATGTCCTTTCTAAATTAGAAGAAATTGGAGTGATATTTTTCTTTTTTCTCGAGGGTATTTCTTGATTTAACGTAATGAAGGACGAAAAACGAGCCAAGTGGATGTGTCGTCGTCTATAAAATACACAGGTGGTTTCTTTTTTCATGAAATTGAAAAATCCTGTCTAGTCAAAATGTTTTGGTATCGATAACGATGGTAAATTACAGTTCATGAATCTTTTTTTGTGTCATGCATCCCGAAGTTTTAAATTTTAATCCAATAGATTAAAATTAAGTAATCCGATGATAAAAATTTAGGAAAAGTGAATGATGGATCAGCAGGAAATATGCGATTGTGAAAATTACAAAAATATTTTATCCCTAATTCTGCTAAAGATGATGAGGCGACTGTCATCTAGTGTGTAATCATTAATGCATGGATCATCAGTGAAAATTCGATTGTGGAAATTACAAAAACCTTTTTATCTCTAATTCTGCTAAAGATGATGATGCAACTGTCATCTAGTCTGTAATCATTAATTTATGGATTAGCAGTGAAAATTCGATTGTGGAAATTACAAAAATCTTTTTTTATCTCTAATTCTGCTAAAGATGATGATGCAACTGTCATCTAGTCTGTAATCATAAATGTATGGATCAGTAAAATAAAAATGCGATTGTGAAAATTACAAATTCTTTTTCCCCTCTAATTCTCCTAAAGATGAAGAAGCGACTAGTGTCAACTGGCCTCTAATCATAAATGTATTCATAAATTTATTTTCATCTCAGTTGAATAAAAAAGAAATCATGAGAGAGGAAAACCGAAACTGATTTTTTCACTGCTTGTTCAAAGTGAATTTGATTCTTCCAAAGGTGTTGAAAATAAATAAAAAAGAAGACATGGAAAACTAAAGGTAAATGGTTATAAAAGAAAGGTGTTCAGTGAGGCCCGTGGGGCAAATTCCCGATTTATTCAAACCGCCAAATACTTGGATCCCATAAAGAGAATGAATGGTTTTTGTGGTGGTTGCACCAATACTCTAGAGCTGCTTTCAGGGGGTTCATGAAATACGCGCTTTTACTCTTTCTCTCTCTCTCTCCCGTTTAGCTTCTCTTATCCATTCCTTCTTCTCTTTTTTCCTCCATTTTGAATGCCTATATTTTGGTCCTTCTCTTTCCCATTGGATTTCCACTTTCACTCCCCTCGAACACTCGAAACTCTACTCCGTAGGGTGGCCAGCGCTATTACCATGAATTTACATAGTCTCACTCCAAACTCCGAACATATTGCATCGCTTTGATTTATGCGAAATATTTGCTAAATATTCCGTTTAATCTCCGTCGTTTGGAATCCAGTGGAACAAACCCAGCAATTCTGTGTTTTCTTTGTCACGATGGAATTCCCTGGAAGAATTAAAAATAAACAAAAATTTTTTTTGTTTTCATTATTTCTAATAAATTTTGTTCATGAAGTCTCTTTTTTTGTTTGAATTCGAAGTTACAAATATATGAAGGGTTCGGGGTGAAACGTGACCCACAGCTCAGGGGTGTTTGGAAGGTTGTGTAGGATTCCATGACTGCGGCCTAGATTGTATTTGGCTTCCTTCTGCTCCGAAGCTTCAACTCAGAGATGTGAGTAACGTATTTCCTAGAGAAGCCCAATCAGTCCAATAGTCGTTCTATCTCTTGGCACTCTCAATGTTACAATTTTCATAAATAAAATAAATAAAATGCAGAGGAGACTATTTGAAAAAAATGATTTCAAAGAACAAATGAATATTTCTTAATACTATTTCTATCAAACAGTTATCAATTCTAAATGGGAATTTAGAATTTCTTTTTCGATAGACCCGAAAAGTGATCATTCATTCGAATTATATGAAACGGACCGAGATTTTCAGGAAGTTTTCGGGAGATACATTCACATAAATCAAATGTCGAGGCTATTTCCGTTTTTTCCAATTCACTCACCCATTTTGATTCTCTATTCCATTTGTGTCCAGTTTTCTTCTTCTTCTTTTTTCCCTATAATATATATTTTTGTTTCATTTCTCACTTGACGCATTCATACGCCATTCTTTGTTGGGTAATAAACGTGGACCATTTGCATACTGAGTCTGGGAACAAAATAAAATGCCACCTCCTCTCTCTCTCTCTCTCTCTCGATATAAGCCACCCTTAGGGATTCGTGATTGTCTAGATTTATACATAAATCCGGCTCGTTTTACCTACATCAATAAATGAATACCTATCTCGTGTTTCTACTGATAGATCGATTTTTCAGTAGACAGTAAATATCGCTGATGAGCTCTGGTCAGTCGTTGACTTAAAAGGGGATCTGGGAAACGTATATAACCCTTCAAGGGGTTGGGAGCATAGAGTCAGGAGAAAAAAGTCGATTTTGAATATTGCATCTCTCTCGATGCCAATTTGTAGTATTTCAAAAAAAATAAACCTTAAAAACTATTTTTCATTGTGTATGACAAAAATCGGTACATCTCACAACATTTTGTGATATCATAGTTTCTTGTCATTTAATATTCATCTATCAGACGTTGTTATTAGATTTTTTATTGATTCAATAGAAGGTTAATAATTATTCAATATTTTTCTGTTACAGATTTCATTGTGTGAAGACTACAGTTTACCAGTTGATTTCGTCAATAAGCGACGTCCAGTAAGTGCTGCAGCAACAACATCCACAGTCCAATGGGCCTTACCAAGTCCTACGATAGATAAAGTAAGAAAATTAAACCTAAATACTAATTGTTAGACCTACTAATTGTTAATTTAGTAATTGTTATATTTAGTAGAAAATAAATTTTCCCTACAGAGTAACGGATTTTTAATATTTATTTCAATTTCTATAATGTAGCTTTTTTTGCACCAGCAATCTGCTTAACTTCAGAAGTGTTCTTTCTACTTTTACGACTTTTCCATTAGCCACCCCATGACTGACCCTCTTATCCAAGTGAGTATTTCAAAAAGCGGATTGAATGCCAGTAGCTGCTTTGAAGAGAGAACAAAAAGAAAATAAAAGAAGTCAACGAAAATAGAATATATTTTCAACAAATCTGAAATATTTCTCTTCAATGACTGCTCTTATTATCATAGCTTTACCATTCGGAGAACATCGTTTCCGGTGAAATTGCGAAAAGTCTTCGTTTCGGGTGCAAATGCGCATTGATATTTTTCAGTTACGTTGGGAGAATCGGATGAGGGGAGAAATATAATTACAGGGGTGACAAAATACCCCTGGGGTATATTGTGACGGAGAATTGTGAGTTGAAGGCACATGCAGGGTGAGCTAGTGACTTCCGGCGTTACTTATAATTGCTCCAGCACTCAGTTCCTGGGTTGCCTTAAAGCGTTACGCTTAAATGTTTCTACTAAAATATTACCCCTTCCATTATCCTGATGCAGTTCGTCTACCTATAAAGAAAATTAAAAGAATTTTTTTGATTTGAAATTAAATTGATATTTAATTTAGAAATTGTATACGATAGACGATTTTTACAATTACTAGAAAAGAAAGGAAAAAGGAAAGATTAAATTCAACTGTAAAAAGTACAAAAGCAGATTATATTTTTGTCGAAAGTATTCTCGAAGGGATGCTCCTTGCTAAGAAACAAAACAGCGGTCGACAATCGCGAAGAGAGGAAGCTTATAATAAAAGGGAAGCAAAAGTGACACCTGGAAACAAAGGACAAAAGTTTTCTCTCTCTCTCTCCCTCTATTCGCGACTCCACCACTTGACTCTCGAGGGTGAATCGTTATGAGTCTCTTTCCTTTTTTTCCCAAAGTCCTACTTAATACTTTGGTGCTTTATTTTATGCGTAAGGACGCGAGACGTAGATCACATTTTTCATTTCAACACAAAGAGTTTAAATGCGCGAACTTGAGAACACCTCTTCTCTTGGAATGATGGTACCGGAAAAATAACTTTAAACTGCTTTCTTTTAGTCTGTTTATTGTCGGGAATAATAGGCAGGGATGTTAAAACTCTTCCTTCCGGTACAAATAACTCAGTTTTAATTTCACATTATGATTTTAGAATCTAATTTAATTAAATGATCATTAGACTTTTTACGACCTTTGACAAACGATAAAGAATTGCAATCGCGGTCCATAGTCGTCAAGCAGTTTGAGGAATCTTAATATCAGTTAAATTCGATTGTGGAAATTACAAAAATCTTTTTTTATCTCTAATTCTGCTGAAGATAATGATGCAACTGTCATCTGGTCTGTAATCATTAATGTATGGATCAGCAGTGAAAATTCGATTGTAGAAATTACAAATACATTTTTATCTCTGATTCTTCTAAAGATGATAATGCGACTGGCATCTAGTCTGTAAGCAACAGTTAAAATTCGATTGTGAAAATTACAAATTCTTTTTCTCCCTAATTCTCACAAAGATGAAGAAGCGACTGGTGTGTAAATCATAAATGTTGAGATCAACAGTGGAAATTCGATTGTGGAAATTACAAATCATTTTTTATCCCAACTTCACCTAATGATGATGAGGCGACTAATGTCATATAGTCTGTTATCATTAATGTATGGATAGGTAGTACAAATTCGATTGTGAAAATTACAAATCTTTTTTTATCTTTAATTCTGCTGAAAATGATGATGCAACTGTCATCTAGTCTGTAATCATTAATGTCTGAAGCAACAGTTAAAATTCGATTGTGGAAATTACAAATACATTTTTATCTCTAATTCTGCTAAAGATTATGATGCGACTAATGTCATCTAGTCTGTTATCATTAATGTATGTATAGGTAGTACAAATTCGATTGTGAAAATTACAAATCATTTTTTGTCTCTAATTCTGCTGAAGATGATGATGCAACTGTCATCTAGTCTGTAATCATTAATGTATGGATCAGCAGTGAAAATTACAAATACTTTTTTATCCCAACTTCATCTAATAATGATGAGGCGACTAATGTCATCTAGTCTGTATGGATTAAAGTAAATTAAAGAAAAATAATAGTAATTTTGATTTTGTTTCACAGTTTCGAAAACCACTAACAGAAATTAATTACAGATAGACAAATAATGCTATTATTGGAGTCAGTGATCATTATTGAATGCTAATGTCTGAAATTCAGATTTTCCCGTTTGTGGTTCTGTGATCGAATTAGGGACACTTGAATTAGCATGCCTGCTGACAGGAACCGTTCTAGTAATTTCCGAATAAACATCTTGGAATTTATAAGCTTCAAAGATGGAGAGAGAGCGGATTTGATGGCAAACCCCTGAGGCAAAACGAACAACTTTCGCAGGAGAATTTCAATTTCAAGCTCTTTCGATTTAAGGCTACTTGTCTTCGTCTTCGATTTCAAATCTTATGGCTATACATTTTATCTGAAATTTGCAACTTTTAGTTTGATTTCAATCTGCCTTAAGTATGCTAAAGTATACTAAAAGAATTTCTTGATTTTGTTCTTAGTTTCATTGTTTATTCACTCCAATTATTAATTTGTTTTTTCGGGAGACATTTGGAAGGAAGATGTACGGTAGGATCTGGGTATTTATCAGTTGTCCTGTGTCGTAGCCATTAGGACAAGTAGCTAAGATTAGGGAGGGAAATTGCCCATCCCTGAAATGTCTCTGAATGCGTAAGAGAATAAAGCTCTGGCAATAATCCTTCGGGAATGCCATTCCCGAAGGAATGTAAGTGGTCTTGGGTGTAGATACACATGAAAAGCGAGAAACTATTGTTAAACCTCTAATTCCTGGAGCTAATAATTTCTATACAAATTCTTCATGAACAATTAATAACCTGCATTCAATAGGATAAAATTTTGAAATTCTCCTACTTAATTGCCACGTAGTTTAATCAACTATTTCAAGGCAGCATTAAATTACTGTTCAAGAGTTTTACTTTATCTTGAATTTTAAAAATTATTTGATGTTGTTTTAATGTTATTATTTTTTTGTAGACGGAGGTGGAGGTTGTCGAGCAGTACAGTGATCCTAGAGACAGCAAATCCAAAGCTTACATTGATCCAGGCGAAGAATCACCTTTACCCACGATTTACAGTAAAGTAAATCGAAACTACTGTCGACCTTACACAGGTGAGATAATTATTAATTAACGTTATTATTATTAAACCATTAGTGTCCAAACGGACAAAATTTTACGTCGAACTTCAAACGAAGAAATTTTCTAAAAAAATTTATCTATTTTTTCGGCCAAAGCATAATATATTGCGTAGTTTCAAGATCGCTGATTACGAATCTGATGTCAGATTTCGAAAATTCAAAATGGCGGATCCAATATGGCGGATGAAAAATTAAAAATTGATCGGATTCGCTTCAAATTTGGTACTCGGGGGTTTTTGGGGTCACTGATTACGAATCCAATGCTAGATTTCAAAAATTCAAAATGGCGGATCCAATATGGCGGACGAAAAAATTAAAAATTGATCAAATTCGCCTGAAAATTGTTACTCGGGGGTTTTCGGGGTCGCTGATTACGAATCTGTGGTCAGATTTTTAAAATTCAAAATTGCGGATCCAATATGGCGGACAAAAAATAAAAATTGATCGGATTCGATTTAAAATTAGTACTCGGTGGTTTTCGGGGTCGCTGATTACGAATATGCTGTCAGGTTTTAAAAAAATCAAAATGGCGGATCCAATATGGCGAACGAAAAAATAAAAATTGATCGGATTCGCTTCAAAATTGGTACTCGGGGGGTTTTTGGGGTCACTGATTACGAATCCAATGATATATTTCAAAAATTCAAAATGACGGATCCAATATGGCGGACAAAAATTGAAAATTGATCGGATTTGCTTGAAAATAGTTACTCGGGGGTTTTTGGGGTCGCTGATTACGAATCTGTTGTCAGATTTCGAAAATTCAAAATGGCGGATTCAAGATGGCGGACGGAAAAATTGAAAATTGATCCAATTTGGTTGAAAATAAGTGCTCGGAGGTTTTGGGGATCGTTGATTAAGAATACAATATATAAAACATAGTATTTATATGACAATTCTTTATTTTAGTAGAAATTGTAGTTACTACAAGTTTTCCCTTCTATTTTTAAAAATAACTTTGATAATGTAAATTTTATTTTTAAAGAATAATTATTTCCTCCGAATAAACCTTTTTTCTTTGCCTCAAGAAGAATTCGATAAAATGCAAATAGAAGAAAAGCAATAACTTATCACTGTTCTTCGTCGTTGAGAGAGAGAAAATGTTTTTTCGTCACGAAATTTCTCGATTGACCGTAAAATATTTTTTTTTTCAAGAACTCCAAATGGGGATACGCCTAATCTCTGTTTGTATGCAAATTCAACATTGTAACTTCGATCCCAAGTAAACACCTTTAGAATTTGCATCCTTACTGTATTCATGGGCTTTTAATTCGCGGATGAACTCTCGAGATGTTTGCATGATGGTTTAAGCCTTTTTGGAAAAGGGTCTGAATAAACGTCAAATTTCTACATTATCAGCTTTCGGGTCCCTTAATCTACATCTTGGGGATGATATGATATTGGCTTTTGGTTAGAGTACACTTTCATTGTAATAAACTTTATTAATTGTCTGGACAATATTGGTGGTGGTTTCTAGTTTGAAAGTGAAGGAAAAGATGATTCGAATTAGTGAAGAAAGAGTAAAGTGGAAAGTGGATTTTGATGGATTTTTAAGTCTAAATTGGATGAGAATTAAAAAAAACAAAAGAGAGACCGAATAGTGGTTCGAACAGTAATAGGGAAAGTGACAATGATACGTCTAGACATTTTCTCTTCGCATCCATTTCCGCTGGCTCTTAGGGGTTCCCGTGGTTGCATACGCTTCGTTTGTTCCAACTTTTCGAGCCTATGGTGTGCCTCTGACATTACTTGGCACTGACACCTAACAAATCCCCTTCCATTCGTCGCAGATATTTAATTAAATTCCCATTCCAATGTATGTCAATGCCAACATTAACTCCTTTTATTCTAACTTTGACCATCAAACAAAACTAGAAAATTAGTTTTCGTTTCTTCACTTCTCTCTAGAATATGTTAACTGAAAATAAATCTTAGTACTTTTGATCTCAAAAAAAAAGAAGTACTTTTAAGAAGTTGTTTTACATGTTTTGAAGGAATACAATTTACATTTCTTATATATGTATCTACTGCATGAGTCGGGAGTGAAGAAAAAAAGAAATGTAATTTTATTGCAAACTAAGGTAGAGTCTCAAAATATTTTTCGAATGAATAATTCATCGCATGTTCCTACAAGACTTGTGTGCATATGTCAACAACAAAAGGGAACTGGGAAACACGAAATGGATGATGAAAGTTTTCGAAGCCGCGTTTGATGTCAAGAGATCGTAACTTTTCTTTCAATTTGATGGACATAGTATACGTAACGTGGCATCGACAAACGATAAAGCGCTAAATGCTCAGGAACGTGGAATGAGAAACAAGTTGCCTAGCACCGATAATTGAAATAGGGTAGGTTAACTGGTTCCAAACCACTGGGAGGAAATCATTTCCAAAGCTAGAATCAATTGGGACGCATCCAGAATAAAGGAAAACTATTACCTATTTTCGGAAAAATTTTATTCCATACAAAATATTTTATAGTAAACTATTAAATAACTATTAAATAACTATTAAATAAAAGTCAGATGAAATTGATCTGAAAATTTCTATATTAACAAAACAATGGGGGGAAGTGACACGAAATATACGAATTATTATCGAAAAAAAAGAGTGTTGAGAAACAAATACAATCAATCAAGTCTTGACATGGACAGAACTAACAATGAATTGGAAATCAATAACAATTTAGGTAAAATATTTTTTTCCCGTTTATTGCTTTCTCAGGAATATGTGTAAATTATTCAAAATGAATTGAACTGATCTTAATTTTTCATTTTCTTTTAATTATCCTTACTTTGAATTAATCGAGTAACTTTATTAATGTAGTGGATATTCAATATTTACGCTAAAAGTCTTAATTTCAAAGTTGCGTGTTTCGTAAATATTAGTTTGATAATAGACTCGATAAAAGTACAAGAATAAAATATTCTCTGCTTATCTTCAAGATACGTGTTCAGGATTGACACAAAAATTTAATTTTCTTATTCCCTGATTTCCAGACAAAATTTTAAATTATTCCCTGACCCTAAATAATATTCTGATTCACTCTAAAAATTATTAGATACTGAAAAAAATGTTCTATTACATTTATTTACGAATTTAGTTAAATGTAAAATTATTCAAAAACACCAATGACTTCATTTTTCAATAAATATTTAAAATCATTATTACCCTTCCGTAGAAATTAAAATTTTCCAAAACATTTAAATTCTGTATTGTAACTGTTACTGTAACTTCTTCAAAAATTATTTTCATCATTTCAATTCAATTCTTATTTTCTACAATTTTTTAATAAAATTCTTCTTTAAATCAATTATTTTTAATAAATTTTGAAAAAGTTCTTCTCTTGAGAATTTTCAAATCTATTTGTTAACAATTCAATTTTACGTGAAATTTCGATTATTCGGAAATTCTTCAATTAAATACACGTTAGAAAATACAAACTTGACATAATTTAAAAAAATTTCAATTACATAAGCTTTTTGAAGAAAATTAGTGGCAAAGAATTTTTAATTAAAAGTATGAAAAATTCAGATTTTCAAAGATTTTAATTTGAAACCTTTACAAAATTCAATTATTTCTGAAAATTGCAATTATTAGTAAATTCTCAAAAATTCAATTATTATCTAAAACTTTAAATGAAATTAATTTTTTAATTAATTTTTATTCGAAAATTCTACGAGAATTCAATTATTTAAATACAACTAAAAATAATTTATTCAATAATTGAATGTTTCTTAAAATTGAATTCTTATTCATAATTTTATCAACTAGTTTTTAAATAATTGAATTCTTTAGACGAATTTTAATAAAATTTTTAAAAATTATTACATTATTACATTTTTTTTTAAATTTTAATTTAAAATAATTGAAATTCTGCAATGAGTTTTATTAATTTTGAAAATAATTGAATTATTGCGAAGAATTTTATAAAAAAATTTTAGAACTTTTGATTTTTTTCGAAAAAATTTGTGCAATTTCTATTTTTAATAATTGAATTCCTGCAAAATTTTTATTTTTTTGAAAAAGAATTGAATATTCGTGTAGAATTTTATCAAAATTTATGTTTGATAATTAAATTCTTTCAGGAAATTTGATTACAATAGTAGAATATTGAAAATCATTGAATTAAGAAAACTTTTTGAGAATAAATGAAATTTTTTCAAAAATTTTATTAGAATTTTTGAAAATTGAATTTTAATAGTTTTGAAAATAATTCAATTCTTGTAAATAATATTGTTATTTATGAAAAGAATTGAATTTTGCAATGAATTTTATAAAAAATTCCTGAATATAATTGAATTTTGTCGAAGAATATAATTAATTTTGAAAATAATTGAATTTTTGTGATAAATTTATAAAATTAATTGAATTTTGCAATGATTTTTATTAAAATTAATGAAAATAATTGAATTTTTTAGAAAGAATTTTGCTATCAATTTATAATAATGATTGAAAAGTTGATAATTTTTTCTAAATTTTTTGAAAATTATTACATTTCTGTTAAGAATTTTATTAATTTTAAAAATAATTGAATTATTGCGAAGAATTTTATAAAAAAATTTCAAAACTTTAAATTTTTTTCGAGAAAATTTGTACAAATTCAATTTTTAATAATTGAATTCTTGTAAAATTTTATTAAAAATAGTAGAATATTGAAAATCATTGAATTAAGAAACATTTTTGAATGTAAATGAAATTTGGCCATGAATTTTATTAAAATTTTTGAAAAATGAATTTTATTATTCTTGAAAATAATTGAATTCTTGTGATGAATTCTATTAATTATAAAAATATTTGAATTTTGCAATAAATTTTATTAAAATTCCTGAATATAATTGAATTTTGGCGAAGAATTTTATTAATTTTGAAAATAATTGAATTCTTGTGATGAATTTATGAAATTAATTTAATTTTCCAAGTGAATTTTATTAAAATTCCTGAAAATATTTGAATTTTGTCGAAGAATTTCGCTATTCATTTATAAAGATAATTGAAATGTTGACGACTATTTTTTTTTAGATTTTTTGAAAATAATTGAATTTCTGCGAAGAATTTTATTATTTTTTGAAAATAATTGAATTCTCGTCATGAATATTGTTATTTATGAAAATAATTGAATTTTGCAATAAATTTTATAAAAATTCCTGAATATAATTGAATTTCGGCGAAGAATTTTGTTATTTATAAGGATAATTGAAATGTTTACGAGATTTTGTTTTTAAATTTTTGAAAAGAATTGAATTTTTGAAAACAATTTTTATATTTATTAAGATAATTGGATTCTATCAAAGAATTGCGTTAATTTTCTTATAAATTCTAAAAATTTAATTATTCCCAGTACTTTTCATAAAAATCCCTTACTTTTCCCTGAATTCCCTGATACCCCTGACCTGTGGCAGACAATTTAGTCGTCTGCTTTCCACAGTTAGTGACGCAGTACAAGTGCCTCCCTCTACGCGCGGGAAAGTCTCGTAAAATTTGAATCTCCGTCAGACTAAAATAGAAAATTCGAACAATAAACACAGATATGACTCATTCCTCTAATTGTGACATTAATACCAATTTGTTAGTACATTATCCGAATGTGAATTAGGAGTGTTGAGTTTATGACAGGGATGATGTTGGCCGGCGACAATTTTAGAATTCGACTCTAAAGGGTAAGCGCTTGGAAAGTTCGTTGAATTTACCAAGAAGATGAATAGTTAACAGAACCCTTCTACCCTTTTCTCTCCACACCTACTCCATCTAGTGTTCTCATTTCCCTTTCGACTATGTCCCTGTTTTCTCTCGTTCCCCTTTCATCTCATCTTGATCATGTTTCGTTTCCTTTTCTCTCGCACATCTCACTCTCTGTTAACTGGATCATTTACCAACTGTCAACTACACGCTCTTCCTTCTTCATCGCCTTTTGGTATATAAACATATACACAGATGATTTTCTTCGCATCTCTTAATCCCAATCTTCCTCTGCACTCATTCCTATAGTAAAAATGATTCAGTTTTCGAATCAGTTCGTTTTTTTCGATTTACCCAAAAGGTAAAATATACATTTTGGCGAGTAACGATTTTTCTCTAAAAGAGAGAGAAGGGGGATTTTAATAATATTTTTGATACAGAGAAAAATCTGTCAACCGTTATGATAATCGGAATGACAATTCTCCAGTTTTTCTGACCGTACACTTGCCCCCCTTGTGTTGATGCGCACCAGTGGATGAACGAATTAATCCTCATCTCGTTTCTCATAAACCGTAAAATCGTTTGCTTTTGAATATTATTAATGCTTCGTTATCTTCTTTTAATTACTTTTTTCAAAATTCGGTGAATTTCGTTGAATTTCGACAAATAATTCTTATTTTTACTCCTGTTTCTAGTGTAAATATAAAAATATAAGAATTTATTTTTCTATTTAATTTCCAAAGGAAAAATTTTATGTCTCCTTTTTCGTTACAAGAAATCGATAAGCATTTATATTCCTGAAATGTATGTCTCGATAAAATTAGAGAGGCGTGTGTAGAAAACTTTTTTCGTATCGTTCGCCACGAAAAAAAAACATTGTTAGTAAAATGAAAACGAAAGCGAAGGAGTTCAATGACTGTTGTCACGCATACAACATCAATAATGGTCGATAAAGGCCAAGTTTGTAGAATGTGATAAAAGTGTTCACTTCTTTTTTATTTTATCAAACTTAGACATAATAATTACAAACACGATAATGTATTTTACATTTTAATGATATTTTAATTACACCTGTTTTATTTGGGTCAGAGAATTTACGTTGTTATTAAATTTTTCAAGAATTATTTTTAAAAGAAAAATCAATTGAATAATGACTTGGTCTTTGGTAGAGGTTGGACTTCGCCTTTGGACAAAGGGAAGTTTTATAATTTAGTGGAAAACTTGAGGATTTTGGAGCTTATAGAGGTATGTCCTTGATCGTCTAAATTGAACCCTTTCACCGCAGGCGATCGTGCCCTGTACGACCACTGATGTAGATTTCAATTGAGTAATGCCTACCGATAGGGAAGCGAATAATCCGGCCGTGGTCTATGTGCCCCTGGCAATAACAACCCTCTCACACTTTGATGCATCGAACTAATATTGATTTTATTACCTACGAAAATCAATCCTACGAAGCACTTGCCTCTTGCCTCTTGCTTCTTTTCTCATTAGAATTCATCATCTTTAGTTGAATTTAAACCTCTCCACTTGTGGGAACTTAAAAAATTATCTTTTATGTTTGTTTAATTTCGATTTAACAAGACCAACAGGAGAAGAAACGGTTCGTTTCATCGAAGGTCAATTTTTCCATTAGTTACTAAGGGAAAAATCTGCAAACTAGAATATTTGACTTACCGCTTGTGAGAATATCGAAAAAATAAATTTTCCATATTTTCGAGCAAATTGAAGGGAATTTTTTTTAATAAACAGGATAGTTTTCCTCGTAGCCTAGGTCAATTTTTAAAACTATTTTCATTTCAGTTTTACGAGACAAGTTTTTACTGCGAAACGTGTAGACAAGTGGAGGAGGGATACGTAAAGCGGGATCTAATTTTCGATTAGAACGTGTCTTGCCTCTCAAGTTTCCTCATTTACTTTTAGCTTATCCTACTTAAAATCTTATTAGGAGCGTTAGAAGTTTAGTTCCTATCCTCACATGCTGAATAATAGAAATTCGTATTCTAAATTTTCTACAATAATTTTGCATCCCACAAATGAAAATCAAGAGCAATTATGAATATTATGAATGTTCTGAATATTCTGAAATTACAACAGTCAATCGGTTTGTTAGAGACGTAATTTTTTTTTCGAAAAACGGTTAAAAGATCAAAAGCTCCCGAGTTAATACGGTGCAACACTGCATTCGAGTGGAATAAGCCAAAGCTTAGGTTGCAAAAAAAAAACGAGAAAAAAAACAAAAAGCGAACTTTGGAATAAAATTACTGGAGTAAGTAATTTGAGAACAGTGCTAGTAATTGCCACTTAAAACGCTCAAAGGCGTCGCTCTCTTGCTTCTTTTTAATTTAGCACTTGGCATCAAGCAGCTTGAAATCCTGCCCATGCACAGTTTTTCTTTTCCGTCGCGACTCGCAATCAAAGAAGATCAGAGAGACGCGATTCTCAAAGATTCACCCTGTTTTGTAATCAGTCGCTGTTTCAATCATCTTTCCTTATTCCGTTGTACGTGGTCACCCTTCATGCGTGTATCTTTTTAGTTTTTTCCTCCAGAAAAGACGCTTCTTTCAAGACGTCCTCTCTTCCAGATTTATTATTACGCTTGAAATATAAACTTTCTCTCAAAAATAATTTACCTGAAAGGAAGCGTCCCCTAATGTAATTTTCAAAAAGAAAACTTCAAATTAGATCTAAAGTAGTTGATGATTAAGTGTCACAAGATTTTGTCGCACATAACGAAAAATTTTCTTCCTTTTCTTTTTTCTCTTTCAGTATAGGTAATCTTCCGAGACGTTTACAAAAAAGGTGGTTTTAAGGATAACCGGAAATTCTTTCCTGGATACGATCCACAACCCTTAGTAAACCCTCCAATATTAGGACAATATCTAATAAAAAGAGAATCGAAATGCCCTGAAGGTTTCTCGACAATCAGTCATTCTTTTGCAATAACTTCTAATACCGAATACAAACAGTAAAAGAAAAATAAAAGAAATTTTTGTCGTCATGAAAATGAAAGGATAGATATTTTTTTAAAGCAACAAATTCGAATGGATTAAAAATTTATTCCAAGGGATTTTCTTGGCTTAACGCTTGAACGAACGTTTTATGTATCGAGAATTTATATATACACGCGATTTGTTATCTCAGTGGAGAGACAAGTCAAGCGAATATCTTTGAATCGCAAATATCCTTCTGATAGAAATTCGTGTTTGAATCGAGTGAGACAGTAGTTGATGTAAACATGACGAAACGAGCAGTGGTGGGATCATTCTGTAGGTGATTGCCAGTTCCAGGGATGTCGCTCACCGTCCCTAATAGATTCATTAGGGGGCAACGTTCTAACCCTCGCATTGCAATATAGCCCTCAGCTGCACTCTACCAATCGCTATCATTCCGGATACCACGGAAATCTGATTATCGTCTCTCGTAATCAATATCCCTGAAATTTTCCAAAATTTAATTTCATCTCCACTTCTTTAAAATACTTTCCAGTGGCAGTGAGTAAAAAAAACATTTGATGTAAATTAGAGATTATATGAAAAATTCACTAGGTTGATTTTTCATTTCATCTTTTTATCCGTTTGATAATAATCATTTTACTGGAAATATTCTTTAATCGTTTTTCTGGCGTCTGCAATAGGCTTTCTGTCAAATCCACGATCTTATAGTTTATGGAGTCTACCAACCATTTTAAGGAAGGAGCGAAAGTGCCATTATCTTCAGACTCATCTTTGTCCTGCTAACTCCACGCATCGAACTTTGGAAATTTATTAGAAAATTTTATTTCGATTCAATAAATTCTATTAAACGGATTTTTATTTCTAGTATTAGCTTCACAATTATATTGATTTAGATTAGATAAACACTGACCCGAGAGTTGATCAATATTTGGAGGATTTTATAAAGCGATTTTTAAGACACAAGTTTATGAGTTTTCTATCCAAATGCTTTCGGCTTGAATGGTGAAAGGATCGGGTCCTAAAAGTATTATGGTAATTTAACTACATTTTGATCCTATTATTCTGCACTGCCTGCGTCGATTCGGATTTCTCAAATAAAACTCTATTTTTAAATATTAAGATAAACGGATGAATTTTTTCTGCAGTGATAAATAATTTTTTCTTTTTTTCTACTGTTTCAGATCCATCAGCGTCAGGATCGTCTTGTGAGGAGAACGAATTAGAATTAGCGAATAACAGAAGGCGAAAGAATCTAAAAAACTCTACGACTTTAAGTAAAGTATTAAATCAGGAAAAGGACAAACAGACGAATAGTGTCGTCGTTGATTGCGTTGCCCTGGTTCACCTTCCGGATCAATCTCCAAACGAATCAGCGCATCCGATTCGTCATCCTTCCCCTTATTACTACGGCGATCTCTTCAGAGTTCCGGAACAACATTCACGCACTCAGCCGAATAAATATCGAAAGAGTGTGAGTCTCGATGTACCTGATCACTCTTCAACGACTCCGGCTCTTCATAAAAGAAATTCATTAGCTGGGGATGAAACTCCTTTGCTGCAACAAGGACAAACTTTGATAAATTCGACGACTACAACAACAACTGGAGAGCATGTTCTTCCCTCAGGGAGCGAAGCAACAAACAGCGTGGTCACCGAATGGGATCAGTCTCTCATGCCACCGAATAGACTTCTGAGTCATGATCTATCAACAAACGTCTGCACTTGCATTGCTTCGCCCGAGGAGGATGAGCTAGAAACGCCAAAGCCGCAAATACAGCGGCAAAAGAGCAGAAAATATCGCCGAACTAGAAAAATTGATCCCCAAACGATTCTATTCGAAGACGATAACGATCAGGAAGGTGAGGACGAGGACGAAGAAGAAGAAGAGGAGGAGGAGGGTGACGAAGAGATGGCAAGACAACGTCAACTCTATGAGACTGCATTCGACTGCAAAATCAGCAGATCGGATGATGATCTCGACGATCTTGATCGGGTGACAAATCATCCTGTTTTGCATTCACAAATGCGAACCAGTAATACAGTGCCATTATCCAGAGCAAGTTCATTAACAGAATCGTCCAAACAGTCGCAAGTTCCTCATTCCGGTTCTCAGGCAAATAAGGACCATCGTCGTAAAGTAGTGATCCTCCGCCCAAAGCCAATACCGAGTCATCTAAATCATCAGCAATCGGACACTTTGTCCCAGGACATTGAATCCCTCCAAATAAATTCAAGTGACGAGAAGACTGGCTCCCCAAGATTACCGACTCGTGGCTACACTCCATCGCCGCCGTCCACGGCGCCTTTGCCCGCTAAATTCCACGGAAACAGAGATAATCTCTTACTAAACATACGTAGCGCACCCAATTTGCCTTCTCAACCTGACCATCCGAGATTAAAAGACATGAAATTACCGATTAAGTCACTAAGAGCAAAGGACACATCCCAAAGTAACGAAAGCAGTATTCTAGAAATCAAAAGCCGACCAAAGAGTTTCGTTTCCGAGTCCACCGATTCGCAGAACCGTCGCTTTGGAAAGGATTTGATTTTAGAATTCAAGGGCAGGCCTAGAGAAGAAAGACAGCGTCCGCGAAGTCTAATTCGCGAAAGCAAACCCATAATGGAATTTAAGGGAAGGCCCCATGAGTCGGAGACCGACGCTCCTAAACCTAGAAGCGAACAAGGTTTACTAGAATTTAAACTAAGGAATAACAGACGAAGACCTGGTTATTCGAGTACTGAAAGCATGGCCACGAGTAGTAGCGGTGGCAGTATGGAATCTTTGCGAAGCAGCACTAGCGAAGGAAATAGATCAACAAGCAGCTCCGAAAGTCACCACAGCACTAGTCTCAGTTCCCACAGTTCAGACAGTGGCACTACAAATTGCTTCCACCATCACCACCACCATCATCATCATCACCATCAACAACCGAATCTCTCCGGCTTTCTCACACACCACACAAATAAACTACACATCCTCTCCCCCATTTCCGACAAATCATCCCAAGAACCAGCCTCTGAGACATCGGACAACAACCGAAATAACAATTCCCAAAAAGCATCACCCGAGGATGTAATTACGGAAATTGTCACAAATACCAATGCCACAACACCCACTGATACATCATTCAAGAAACGAAGAACGCCACAAAATAAAAATCTTATTAATCTCGCACTTCAATCATCGTCATCAGGTGATGCAGAAATACAGGGATCGGATAGCGGAATTTCGATAGAGTCACGAACTGGAATCAAGTGTAAGCCGTTTGGCTTTCATGTACCAAAACCTCAATTGGATAACATCAATTTAGTTGATAATGAAACTGAATTATCGGATTTGCCTTTTGACATGCCAAAGCTCCGTCGGAGGAGATTACTTATGCAACAGGACGCCACAACTTCCGGTAGTGCTACTAGTGTTGATTTAAGAGATTTGCCATTTGATATGCCTAAACTTAGGAGAAGATTGAGATGCACACAGAGCAATGAGTCAAGTGCATCGCAAGCTTCGTCCAGTTTGTCTGTTCGAGACTTGGAACCACCATCTGCATTTGGTACGTTGAATTACAAAACTAAATTAGAAAATTTACAAGACTAATAATTCCCCTAAGTCTCTTTCCTCGGAAAAACGCTTCGATTGAATGGACCATGTTAAACTTAGCGGACGGTTCTCTCAAAGAAAGTATTCTCAACCTATCAGAATACAATTTTAAAAACCCTAAATTATGGCCCAAGCCATTAGATTGTTTCCATAAAAATTAGGTGACATCAGTGAATTTCGTCGAATCCTTAATTAAGCAATTATAAAGTGCGTTTTAGATCTTCTTGATTTATATTTAGTTGCAGCATTTCATTACAAAATCGACAGCGGTCGATTTCTATAAATCTCGAAACAAAAAGGCATTCGCACCAGACGTCGGCAAAGTTCGAATTCTATTAACATAAATGTCTTTTCAAATTTAGTTTTCGTATTTTACTATCAGCTATAAAATTTCCTGAAAAATAGGATAAAGTGATAGATATAAAATGGAGAATACTGTTTCTCCATTCGTTTTCGTAACAGGATGGGAAAAAAAACTCGAGAGTAACGTCCGATCATTAAGGTATGAAAAAGTAGTATAATTCCAAGTACCTTGAGGTCATTTGGGATAAAACTATTTACTTCGTCATGATCTAAGAAACTCTGCAATTTGATGTTGCGTTATAAACCTCTTCCAGACCCCGTCTAACAGCGTTAAGCCACACTTAATGTCGACTTCACCTTGGCTTAAGGGCTCAAAGTTAGAAACTGACGCTTCCGGGCTCTTCGCAATTTCTCTAAGTTCAAATCAACATTGAGTAAGAGGAAATTCGTCTCCTTCTGCCTACAAGTATTCGCCGTTTAATCATTACAGGAGAAAAAATCAATTTCTGTTCCAAGTGCAAAAAAAAAAATATATTAAATACTTTTATTTAATTTTTCGTCATTGAGGATTATTCTACCTTGTTTTTCTAAACGAAAACGGATCGTTAAAGTCTCCAATCCATAAATGAATTTAGTGATATAATCGAGATGTCACTCTATCGGAGACAGAGAATTACGATGTTCATCCTTGTGGAAATTCATAGTTGCAATCTCAGTCACAATCAATCTTGTTCGGACCATTTAATGTCAGAATAGATCCACGCGCGGTTAGGTCATTACGGTTCGCACCAAAAAAAGAAATCTTCCTATCATAATCCTGTGCATCCGGTTGACTGAGAAACGACAAAAAAAATTAAATTTCACTTTTAGTTTATCTACTTTGACGACTTTTCGTTAAACAAGAAAAAAAAGAATTCTCTTTTTCGAAATTGTGAAAAGATTTAAATCTTTCTCTGTTGCTTTCATTCTCATTTAGCCTCATTTTACTTGAAACAAAATTGCTATTTTATTTTCTTGGAAATGTGTCGCGCAGACATTTATTTCCTGGCTTAACTTCATAGACCAGCATCGTTATCATTTGGTTCATGTCCAAAGTACCTTGACACAAGTGACTTCGCTCTAATTCACTGGCATTCGTTTTTCCTGAATCAAGACTGAACAACAGTTAACGGGAGACATACAACTATTGGAATTTTATGAACTCCATTAAAGAGAGTCTTAATTATCTCAAAGTGTGGTGAAGGCGAGACTCTGTACTATGTTGTATATTCAATCTCAGCTTATTGTACTAACATCGATTTAGTCATTAGGAAAGAATCAAATTACTAGAATTATTAACAAACATTGCCAAATAATTAAAAGCGGGAGATGAAGTGCATTTATTATTGACTTCATCGATCCAACAATTCAAAGTGCCAACACTTAGTAGAGAACACAGAAATTAAAATTGTATTTAGATAACTCATGCAAATAAGAAGCTAGAAGAAAAATCTCTCACAAGAGAATATCGCTTCAATCTAAAACAAAAAAAATGTAATTCTAAAATATAGAGATAGAATATACGGCATAGGCATCGCAGTCGTGTACAGCTCGCAGGCAGAAGAGAGAGTGACGACTGCGCACGTAGGACGCGCAGCGTCTCTTCTCCCACTACTCGCTCTGGGCCAGCGCGTCGAGAGCGAGTAGTGGGGGAAGAGACGCGGCCTTTATAACTCGCTCGCGCAGTTTTTTCGTTCAGTTCGTCTTGGGATTTACCACGAGGTGCACCTCGGGCTAACAGTAAGGGAACTCAGATCTAAATTCCTTCGGGTGAGAAAGAAGATTTCCGTTACCTGAGTAACATTTCAAGTTTCATACTTTTATCTAGTCATCCATACGATGAAGGGAAAAAGAAAAAATTACCTGGGTTCTCGGAGTTAATCCTTATTTACAAAGTTCAAAGTTTCAGCATTTGCATAAAATTCCATTTGAAGCATTCGAAAATAAGATATTTTATTTAATTCCTAACAAAGTTTTCTTACCATTTTTTCCAAAAAAACTAGTAATCAATAAATTAAAGAAAGAACAATGTCGTCAATTATTGTGAAATAATACTTTTCTGAAAGATCCTTGTTGACAGGATATAAATGAAGTATTTCGCCTGCTATGATGCTCTCCCCAACTGATTCATCCCACCCTAATCCGCGAATGAATTGGTTAGCAAGCATTGGCACCGGCTGGAGAATGAGTCTTTCTGGGTTCATATTTCATGAGAATGCATCAAACATTCCAGCCAGGTTCAAAATACGCCTGTTACAAAGTAGAGGGAAGGCATCTAATGTCATTACACACTTGTAACATCTGCAAGAAAACATGGTTTATTCCCACACGTTTGGATTCTTTACAGGGATAATAAATTTCATCCAAACATTAGGTTTTCATCAGCTTCAAATCTCCCTAGAAAATAATTTTTTTCATTAGTTCTTCATTTCATTACTACATTGAATTTTAATTAGAAATGTATATCTCTATAATTTGTACATCTCTAAGTATAATAATCCTTCGAATGTATCAACGTTTCTAATTTCTTACACCGAATGTTTCTATTCTATTAATTATTTCCATTCGCCAAAAGTAAATTTCTATTTTGTTACAAATTTTCGTGACCGTAATAAATACAAATCAGTCCTGATAAAGATCGCCAAACAAGGGTAGAAACCCATGTTTTCGTCTTGAACAGGAAGTATCCTGACAGCAATAAGTCTTGTGTTCGCGGGGAAAATTAAAAGTCCCTTCTTATTTCTCTTTTTTTTCACTTTAACGTCACATCTCTTCGTTCTTATACATTAACAGGAAATTTCCCCAGAGACATTCGTTTCGTTGCCAATTCGATTTATACGTAGAGTAAAAAAAAAATAAAGAAACTTCTTGATCTATTCAGAAAAATTCTAGAAGAAGGTAAATTAAAATTCTCCTTATCGTCTTTTTCTTAATTTTACGACTAGAGATGAAGCTTCACTTGGCAACTCTTGTGTTTTAAAAGAACTAGAAAATTTTAGAATAGGAAAAATCTACAATTTAGAAAGATTAGTGGAATTAAAAATTGATGAATGTTTTGAAGAAAATTGAAAGACATTTTTGAAAAAACGAAGGGTGAGAATTAAATTTAATAAGACATAGGCAATCTGGAAAAGTAGTTGAGACCCGCGTCTGGTTAATAATTCAGAATAATCTGGAAAAGAGAGGTATTCCGGATTGATGGCGAAGACGATGGGAGTTAGAAGGGAAAAAGAATTGTTGCCTTTTTTCCTGAATCCTTTCTCTGTATTCTAACAATTCAGTTGCTTGGATTTTAACTCTACGTAACATGTGTCAAAAGTCTTTCTTTAACCTTCGTCATGAAGAGTAAAAGTTTTGCGATCAGAAGCAAAGTTTTTTTTTCGTCTCTGGCTCTTAATTCTCAATAAAAGAAAATCGACAGCTTGTCGTAAGCTTTACCTAAAAGAAGGAGATGTTATTGATTTATTCTCTCTTGAAAGGACTCGAATGTATTTCATCATGACTGAAGGAAAATAAGAAAACTATTTTTACCTAACCAGCTTAAATTAAATTCTCTTTTTTTATATATTTTTATATATTCCGGATAGAACAGAATTTAGTTTTTAGAAATCAATTTCCCTCTTTTTTTAGATTAATTACTAATATTTACTTTTGGGAAAATTATTGACAAGGCGTCTAAATGTCTGGTGACTCATTTCAGGCGGCGGCATGGCGAGACCGAAGATGACTCTGAATTTGGATGGCAGTGGAAATGGGGTCGGAAACATTTTTGGAGTAGGAGAAATGAATCAGCTTGGATCAAAGAAACCTGGAGGATTAAGTCTTGGACTTCCTTTGGAGTTCACTGCGTCGAGAGGTGCAGCTGATCTTGTTGATGTTGATCTTCCATTAGAGCGACAAGGGTGAGTATTCTAAAAAATGAATGGAAAATCATCAAATATGAAAATGGGGGAAAATTTTTTTAAATTTATGAATCATTTCTTTTTGTAGATGGTATCATGGATCTATAACACGAATTGAAGCTGAAGCAGTTCTTCGATTGTTACGTGAGGGAAGCTATCTTGTGAGGAACAGCGAATCGACAAAGCAAGATTATTCCCTATCTTTAAAGTAAGTTTTATTTAACTTACAAAAAAGGGTATAAAATTTGATAGTATTTGGGTATTTTTATCTTCTTTTAATTTATTTTTTATTATATTTAATTAAATTTGATTAATAAATTTATTAATTTAATTTTAATTATATTCATTTCTATAAAATTTAAATTGACCGCCAATTTTTCGGAAGGCGGGCAGTTGGAAAAATCGAGCTTTGAATGCGCTTTAAGAATTTTGTACTGGATTTTCAATATTCAAAATGGCGGATCCAATATGGCGACTATTTTTTGATAATTGATTGCCATTCCTTTTAATTTCTTTCTTGGGGTTACTATAATTGTATTTTTGTTCAATCTAACTCTTCAGGAAATTTTTTGACAATTATCTCCATTGTTTGCCTCATCAACTATGAAATTACCACAAATGCTAAAAAAAACCTTCAATTTTTCTATTTCTAACAATAATTTATTTTTAAAAACTTAATTGTAATGAAGAACTGCCATAAAGTTATTATTTATAAATCATTTAATGAAGTATTTTTTAAAATTTTAATTTCAATTCTGTTTAAAATTAGTTTCAATTTTTTAAATTTTAACGCAATTCTTTGAAAGAATTCAATTATCTTAAAAAATATCAAAATTCTTTTCAGAAATTCAATTATTTTCAAAAATTTATTAAAAAAATTCTCTTCAACATTTCAATTATCTTTATAAATGAATAGCAAAAATCCTTGGCCAAAATTCAATTATACTCAAGAATTTTTATAAAATTTATTGCAAAATTCAATTATTTTCATAAATAACAATATTCATCACAAGAATTCAATTATTTTCAAAATTAATCAAATTCTTAGTAGAAATTCAATAATTTTCAAAAAAGTTTCAAAACAATTATCAACTGTTCAATTATCATAATAAATGAATAGCAAAATGCTTCGGAAAAATTCAATTATTTTCATTAATTTTAATAAAAATCATTGCAAAATTCAATTACTTTTATAAATTCATCACAAGAATTCTATTATTTTTAAAATTAATAAAATTCTTTGCCAAAATTCAATTATTTTCAAGAATTTATATAAAATTCATTGTAAAATTCAATTATTTTCAAAATAATTGAAAAATAAAATAATAAAGTTTAATTATTTTTAAAAATTTTTCTAAATTTAATGATATTCAATATTCTATTTTAATAAAATTTCCCATAAGAATTCAATTATTAAACAAACATTTTGATAAAATTCTACATGAATATTCAATTATTTTTCAAAAAAAATAAAAATTTCAGAAGAATTCAATTATTAAAAATCAAATTTGCATAAATTTTTTCGAAAAAAATCAATTGTTTGAAAATTATTTATAAAATTCTTCGACAAAATTAAATTATTTTCGGGAATTTTAATTAAAATTCATTGCAAAATTCAATTATTTTCATAAATAATAGTATTCAACACAAGAATTCAATTATTTTCAAAATAATTGAAAAATGAAATTATAAAATTTAATTATTTTCAAAAAATTTTCTTAATTTAATGATTTTCAAAATTTTACTATTTTAATCTTTCCCATAAAAATTATTAAATAAAATAAAAAAAAAAATTTAAATTATTAAATTATTATTATTATTATTATTTATTATTATTAATAATTATTAAATTATTAAACAAAAATTTTGATAAAAGTCTACACGAATATTCAATTATTTTTCAAGAAAATAAAAATTTCAGAAGAATTTAATTATTATTAAAAAACGTATTTGCATAAATTTTTTCGAAAAAAATCAATTGTTTGAAAATTTTTTATAAAATTCTTCGACAAAATTCAATTATTTTTAGGAATTTTAATTAAAATTCTTCGGAATAATTCAATTATTTTCATAAATAGTAAAGCTCATTGCTAACTTTCAATTATTTTTAAGACTATTTTAATTGACTTCTTTGGAAAATATAATTATTCTTAAAAATTTTATTAAAATTCGTCGAAAGAATTCAATTATTTAAAAATTTGATGACAAAATTATGTTTATAAGAATTCGATTTTAAGAAACATTCAATTATTCAATAAATTATTTATGTTTGTATTTAAATAATTAAATTATCGTAGAACTTTCTAATAAAAATTGATTTAAAAATTAATTTCAGTTAAAGTTTTAGATAATAATTGAATTTTGGAGAATTTACTAATAATTGCAATTTTTAGAAATAATTGAATTATGTAAATGTTTTAAAATTAAAATCTTTAAAAGATTGAATTGTAAACAAATAGATTTGAAGACTCTCAAGAAGAACTTTTTTAAAAATTAAAAATAATTCATTTATAGAAGAATTTTATTAAAAAATTGTAGAAAATAATAATTGAATTGAAATGATGAAAACAATTCTGTAGGGTCAGGGAAAAAGTTAAAATTTTGTCTGTAAATCAGGGAAAAACAAAATTAAATTTTTGTTGCCACCATGAATAATTATATTAATTAAAATTCTAATAAAAATTTTCTTTTCTTCCAGGAGTGCTAGAGGTTTTATGCATATGCGAATTCAGCGACACGAGGATTTAAATGCCTTTATTCTTGGACAATTCAGCAAACCATTTGATACAATACCGGAAATGGTTCGTCATTTTAGCGTGAACCGTCTTCCAATTCGTGGGGCTGAACACATGTGTCTTCTACATCCAGTAATAGCGCAACTATTATAGCGCAACTATCGCAGCGCTCTCTAAAAAGCGCTAAAACAAAAAAAATTTTTCCTTTTTATCAATGAACAATTCACCTTTCTAATTATCCTTTAATTTTCTTTTTTCTTTTTGCAAATTTTGAAACAAACACCCGATTTTTAAATAATAGTTTCAAATTTATATTCTATTTTAAAAAGCAAAATCGCAGGTTACAAAAAAAAGAAAACAAAAGTGGCCTGAACAATAGGACAATAATTTAATTCCACGCATATATTTAAAGAAAAAAAAAAGAACATGATACTTAATTTGTGAGCAGTAGATTATGAAAATAATTTTATTCAAATATTTTTTTTTTGAGATATTTTTTTGAAAAGAACTATTTTCAATATATATATAGGTTTATATAAATGAAAATCTATTCTAAATTTCGTTTCTTATCTGCTCGCTCATTACTCATTTTTTCTTAACGTATTGACAAATTTTTGAAATTTTCTCTCAAATGAAGGGGCAAAATTTGAAAATTCGTCACTGGTTAATAAAAAACAACCACACTTATTGTCTTCCTTGGCAAAAATAGAACGAAACAGCTACCTCCGAAAACTAATTTTTGAATCGTGAATTTTTCCGATGATTCGAAGGTGGATTGGTTGTTTGTTTCAGTAGATTTATTTTTAAGAGCAGATAGTTAAGTTGTAAATAAAAAAAAAGAAAAATGTTAATCAGGGTGAGAATGTAATGTTTCAAAATGAAAAACCCCGATTGTAGTTTAAAAAAAGGAAACAATTTTTGTCGTTCTAAATCTAGTTACAAAAAAAGTTGTATCTAAAAATAAAATTGTTTCTCCTTTGGCAAATCGACTTAAAAATTGTTATCCAAAAAAAATATGAATTTCTTTCAATAAACAAAAATGTCAAGAAAGAAATGTTTGATTTTAAAAATCGGATATTTTCAATTTGAAAATATAGAAATAAAAAAAAAATGTGTGTAAAAATGATTCGATAAATAACGAGAAAAATGCCAAATGCTACTTCTAATCATAATCATATAGTCAAAAAAAAACACTTAGCGTTTATTGCTATAGTGATAGAATAAACGTAAATTAATCAATCAAGAGCATTAGCATTTGATTCGTGTTTTATTTTTTGCCGATAAGCGAAATTAAAGAAGAAGAAGAAAAAATTGTCCAATTTAATGCAAATGTCCAATATTAATTTCGCTTATCATTATTAATTTTTGATGACCTAAGTCATCCGTCCGAATGTTTAAAAAAAAAGAGGAGAATTCTCGAGGGCAACTGATACATATTTTTTCATGTGATATTAATTTGTTACAGAGGTAAAGCCTAGTTTCACCTGTGATCTGTTATTCCATTATTAAAAGAAAAAAAAACCCGTATCTATTGGTTATACGCGTGCAATATCTGTATCGTTTTTTTTAATTTTAAGTGAAAAAAATTAGAGAACGTCCGTGATATAACAATAATTTGAGAGAAATTCGCTTCTCAGCATAAGAAATTATATTTAAATTGTTTGATTTTAAAAATTATACGTGGCGCTCTCTTTGAAAAAAAATATCTTCGCGTCAGTGAATTTGCTCATTTGAATTTTTAATTTTATTCACTATTAATTCTATTTTAATATTTTAGTACTTTAATACTTTAGTGCTTGAGTATTTTAGTATTTTAGTATTTTTAGTATATTAAAGTTTTTAATAATTTTTCTCTCAGTTTTATATAAAAATTTAATAAATTGTTGGAACTTTTAAAAAAAGGAATATCACTGACGCTTTTAGTTTGAATATATACACATTGTACTTTAAGCTGCCAGTATTATTAATTGTAATCAATAATGCATATCCGTGTTAAGAATTAAGACATTATATTGTCCTTATGAGCGATTATTGAAATTATAATAATCTATATATATAAACTTTATTTTACTTTATATTTATTGAGACATGTCGTTAGTTTATGATCGTGAGGTTCTATATGTTGACTTAATCATAAGAAGGTAGAATTTTGTAGAGAGAAAATAGTTTTTAGATATATTAATGTAGTTGTAGTAAGTTTATAATATGGTGTCGTACGTTACATGGTAGAACTAATTGACTAACGTGTAGATACTTCCCGTACCTTGAAATTTATATGAACTTATAGCCTGTAACTGGGATATATACGAATATAGATACGATAAATTTATAAATATGATTAAGCCTAGGGCCGATGCAGCCTTGGAGAGAATGTTTTGTTCACGATGTTAAAAAAAAACAAAAGTAATAATAATAATAAACAACTGAACTGAGTATGTTCGATTTTTGAAATCCCGATACACTTCAAATTTAGGCGGATCCTGAATTAGGATATGGGATGTGCAATAATTAACATCATGTGCGAATGGATATTTTTATTGCTGCAGCAGGCCGCCAATGTTCCAAAAAAAAACAACTACATTAGTTAGTATTATGTATACTGGGATTCCTTCTTATTAATAAAACATTTAATAATTCACTGTCCATAGTGTGTTTTTTTAATGAACCTTGTTCTCTATTTAACAGTTACTAAATCAAATCAAGAAACGAAAAAAAATTTCTACATTTAATATCAAAAAAAAAAAAATCTAACTTATTTTCATATTTTGTCTTCTATCGAGACATTGATAAATAAATCGGATGGAATATTTGTGAAAAGTAAACTAACAAAAAGTAAAAGTAAAAAAATTTTTTGAATAAACCATAATATTTTTGTTTTTCTTTTAACTCGTAGCTTTTGTTAACATACTATTTGGGAAAGGAATTACAGTTTTTAACTCATCATATATATAATTTAAACCAAAAAATTAGTTAGGTATAATAAATAATTTTTTTTTTCATGTTCCAGGAAAACATTTTTCCAAAAATAAGTTTATAAGTATAATCTGTTATAATCTGTTATGCTTGTAGAATTTTTAAATAAAACATGAATTTGAGTTAAAATTTTTGATAATAATTGAATAATAAAAGCATTATAGCTTGATTTTTAGAAATAAATATATTTTGAAATGTTTAATTGATTTTTTTAAAAAATTATTTCTAGTTTTTATTATCTAAATATTTAATTAGAGAATAAGCGAATAATTAAAATTTTGTCAAATTTTATTGTGAACAAATAGATTTGAAAATTCTCTAGGAACTTTTGTTAAAATTATTAAATATAATTGTTAATTGTTCATTTTTTTTCGAAAAATTTTAATACAATATTTGAACATAATTAATTTTTTCAAAGACTTTACTCAAAAATGTATTAAAACAAGTTTTAAATCCAGATGTTCATTACATGAATATTTTGCTTCCTCTTTACGATCAGCAAACGAAATTTGCTTCTTCGTGGAGGAAGCATTAACGAAAAGTATATTCAATTTTTAAATTATTTTCAATACAATTTAACATTTATAAAATAAAGATCATTCGTCTTAATAGAAAGAATAAAATTTTCTTATAAAGTAATATGAATCTAAATAAACAAAAAAAATTTTAGTAAAAAAGTGAATTTTTCCACTTAATTGTAATTAATTCTATAATTTTCAATATAATATATACTTTACATACACCAATCGATTCGTCTTGATAAAAAGAATAAGAGTTTTTATTTTTTTTCTATAAATAATAACATTTTATTATATAGCAACATAATTTCGCGGAAAGAACTCATTTTTTGATGAAAATGCGAATATGTCAGCAAAACAAAACAAAACAAAATTTTAACTGTTTTTAAAAATTTTAAATTTTTTTGCATTAACAAAATATTACAATAATTATAAAAAAATTAATAGTTAAAATACAGTTTACAATAAATAAATGTCATTATCAACGATTACACGAAATTGTTCACTCTTTTAAAAAAAAAAATTTGCATGTTTGCAAATTTAAAAATTCAATATTTTAAATAACAATCAATTAAAAAAAAAGTTTTTTTAAAATGTTTCTTTTATTGTAAACTACATATTTTTATAATAGTTATAACATTTTAAAAATCAATAAAATTTTTTTAACCTAGTTAAGCTGGCCTGGCCCAAAAACTTAAAAAAAAAAAAAAAAAAAAAATAACTTTATATGAAAAAATGTTGTAGAGAAAAGTTGTTAGTATTTTTATAGTCTAACGTATAGTTAAAAATAATGGAATTTAAAAATTTTAATTTAATTTGGTTCCAAATAGCACAGGTAATTTTTTAATAAATTTAATTTTTGCAAAAATTTTAAGGTTTTTTTCAAAGCACTATAACTTTTTACCTGTGCTATATATCATGCTCTAATAAGAACCAAATGAGAGCTTGAAAGTTGCCCTACATTTCTGGTACAGTTAGAATTGTCTGGGATGAAGATTTCGGGATTTTTTGGCAAAAAACAAAACTCCAAAAAAATTACTAAAATTTAATTTTCTTCATAGGGAGGGACCTTTCCAACTTTTTAATTTTTGCAATAATTTTAAGGTTTTTTTCAAAGCACTATAACTTTTTACCTGTGCTATATATCATGCTCTAATTAGAACCAAATGAAAGCTTGAAAGTTGCCCTACATTTCTGGTACAGTTAGAATTGGCTGGGATGAAGATTTCGGGATTTTTTGGCAAAAAACAAAACTCCAAAAAAATTACTAAAATTTTATTTTCTTCATAGGGAGGGACCTTTCCAACTTTTTAATTTTTGCAAAAATTTTAAGGTTTTTTTCAAAGCACTATAACTTTTTACCTGTGCTATATATCATGCTCTAATTAGAACCAAATGAAAGCTTGAAAGTTGCCCTACATTTCTGGTACAGTTAGAATTGGCTGGGATGAAGATTTCGGGATTTTTTGGCAAAAAACAAAACTCCAAAAAAATTACTAAAATTTTATTTTCTTCATAGGGAGGGACCTTTCCAACTTTTTAATTTTTGCAAAAATTTTAAGGTTTTTTTCAAAGCACTATAACTTTTTACCTGTGCTATATATCATGCTCTAATTAGAACCAAATGAAAGCTTGAAAGTTGCCCTACATTTCTGGTACAGTTAGAATTGTCTGGGATGAAGATTTCGGGATTTTTTGGCAAAAAACAAAACTCCAAAAAAATTACTAAAATTTTATTTTCTTCATAGGGAGGGACCTTTCCAACTTTTTAATTTTTGCAAAAATTTTAAGGTTTTTTTCAAAGCACTATAACTTTTTACCTGTGCTATATATCATGCTCTAATTAGAACCAAATGAAAGCTTGAAAGTTGCCCTACATTTCTGGTACAGTTAGAATTGGCTGGGATGAAGATTTCGGGATTTTTTGGCAAAAAACAAAACTCCAAAAAAATTACTAAAATTTTATTTTCTTCATAGGGAGGGACCTTTCCAACTTTTTAATTTTTGCAAAAATTTTAAGGTTTTTTTCAAAGCACTATAACTTTTTACCTGTGCTATATATCATGCTCTAATTAGAACCAAATGAAAGCTTGAAAGTTGCCCTACATTTCTGGTACAGTTAGAATTGGCTGGGATGAAGATTTCGGGATTTTTTGGCAAAAAACAAAACTCCAAAAAAATTACTAAAATTTTATTTTCTTCATAGGGAGGGACCTTTCCAACTTTTTAATTTTTGCAAAAATTTTAAGGTTTTTTTCAAAGCACTATAACTTTTTACCTGTGCTATATATCATGCTCTAATTAGAACCAAATGAAAGCTTGAAAGTTGCCCTACATTTCTGGTACAGTTAGAATTGTCTGGGATGAAGATTTCGGGATTTTTTGGCAAAAAACAAAACTCCAAAAAAATTACTAAAATTTTATTTTCTTCATAGGGAGGGACCTTTCCAACTTTTTAATTTTTGCAAAAATTTTAAGGTTTTTTTCAAAGCACTATAACTTTTTACCTGTGCTATATATCATGCTCTAATTAGAACCAAATGAAAGCTTGAAAGTTGCCCTACATTTCTGGTACAGTTAGAATTGGCTGGGATGAAGATTTCGGATGGAATATTTGTGAAAAGTAAACTAACAAAAAGTAAAAGTAAAAAAATTTTTTGAATAAACCATAATATTTTTGTTTTTCTTTTAACTCGTAGCTTTTGTTAACATACTATTTGGGAAAGGAATTACAGTTTTTAACTCATCATATATATAATTTAAACCAAAAAATTAGTTAGGTATAATAAATAATTTTTTTTTTCATGTTCCAGGAAAACATTTTTCCAAAAATAAGTTTATAAGTATAATCTGTTATAATCTGTTATGCTTGTAGAATTTTTAAATAAAACATGAATTTGAGTTAAAATTTTTGATAATAATTGAATAATAAAAGCATTATAGCTTGATTTTTAGAAATAAATATATTTTGAAATGTTTAATTGATTTTTTTAAAAAATTATTTCTAGTTTTTATTATCT